GGCGAGCAGCTCGACGGGCACCCGGGGCTGCGCGAGGAGCAGCACGGCGCCAGCAAGACGGCGTGATGGCAACGAGTGCAGCGACGACGGGCATCGCCAGGCGCAGGGCAGGCCCAGCAGAGACGCCCCTGGGGCGCGGCGCCCTCGGCGGAGCCCTCGCTGGGAGGCGAGGGCGGGAGGCGAGAGCGTGCCCTCTCGCACGGCTGCGTGCGCCTTCAGCCTGGCCGGCAGCGCTCCCCGTGCCACGACCGCGACGGCGGCGCCCCCTCCAGAGAAGCACGACTGGGCCCCGCAGCAGCTCCACAGGGACCCCCCCGCGCGAGAAGGTCCAGCAGCTCCTTACCCTTTTGGGCGCGGCGGGCGCGCCAGCAGGCAACGAGCTCAGCGGGGGCACGACAAGGCTCGACGCCAAGCCCGACGGCGTGGACGGCAACAAGAAATAACGAAGAGGCCAAGGAGCAGCCTGACTGAGACTGGGGGACGCTGACCCTGGCGGACATCCGAGCGGCGAGGGCGGCGAGAGCGGGCACACCTCGGAGCACGACGGGACCTGGCTCGACTGCCACTAGCTGTCCGAGACATAAGTGAAGGCGGGGACGCGGACGCGGAGGAGGCCAGTGAGCTGGGCGGGGGGGGCCACTTCGCACCCAGCCCGAGGCCGTGGCAGGCACCCGGCCCGACGCCCAAGACGACGACCAGCGGATGCGGGACGCGGACGGCCTCGATGGGAATCACCGCGACGCTGAGGGCGAGCAGCATACCAATGGCGCCACGGACGAAGGCGAGCATGGCACGAGCAGCTGCGCGAGGCTCGACGGCAAGCCAGCAGCTGCGCCATAGGCGAGGAGAAGGTGGCCCTGATCGAACGCCTGGGCCGCGCGCTGGAGCAGCTGCTGGCCCTCGAGGACGGCGAGGAATACTACGAGGAGCAGGAGGGCTGCGTCTTCAAAGAAGCGCACTCACGCCCTGGAGGCGGATGCCTCAGCCCGCCGTGCCCGCCCGAATCACCCTCGGGGCAGCGCGCAGCCCGCTCGTTGACGAAGCTGGCGGACACGCTCGAACAGGAAGCGTGCCCGAGCCCCCAGGCCACGGCGCCTCCGAGGGAGGGCCGCGGGCCGCTGACAGAGCTAGACGCGACGCCCATCGGGCCACATTGCGCCCTGGAAAGGCTTCCTCCATCCTTCAGCGCCGCCGCAACGCCCTCCTGCCCTGCCGCGCCTTGGCCCCGAGGACCGCGCACCGCCTGGTGCCCGTGGAGAGGGGGGGCGCCGGCCACTCGAGGCCGGGCGCTGCGCCGCGGCACCGCAGCGCGGGGCCGGCGGGACGGTCCAAGTCCCCGCCGCAGTGGGCAGGCACGCACCTCAGCGGGGCAAGGGGGCCGACACGGCGCGTGGGTATGTGCCCGCCTTGCCTCATGAGGAGGAGGAGGCGGAGGAGGAGGAGGAGGAGGAGGAGGAGGAGGAGGGCCCTGTGCTCCCGTGGGCGCGACTTGCCCGGCGGGTACGTGCTTTTCCCCCACAGCAACACCCAGCCGCGCTGCTCGAGGCGCCGTGATCCTGCCCTGGCGTCCGACGCATGTTGGCGAAAACGGCGGCAACAGAGCGTGGCTGTTTTTCGCTGCCGCGGCCGGGGCGGGAAGAGGAGGGAGACGCGAGGCGAGGAGGACGGAAGCGAAGCGGGAGAGACAGACACGGCGCGTGGGTATGTGCCCGCCGTGCCTCATGCATGGCCCTGTGCGCCCGTGAGCGCGACTTGCACGGCGGGCGGTGCTGGATGGAGCGGAGGCGTGGTCCGCAGGGCCAGGAGCGGACCTGGAACCGTCGACGCGCCAGCGGTGCTGCTCTCCGTCGCAGTGGCCGCGCCCTGCGCTGGCGCGCAGGGGGAGTGGACCCGCGGGCCCGCCTCTCGGGGGGAACGAAAGGGGGGGATAGCAAAGGGTAGGATAGAGAATCAGCTCACGTAGCTGATTTTCCCAGCGCCTCCCGGCGCCGGGAGCCCATGTATCGAGGAATGGGCCCGGCGGCGGGGCCGAAACCAGCTGCATGCAGCAGATTTCGTAACCCCCCCTTTCCCTATCTCCCCCTTTCGTTCGGCCCGAGCCTCCTACGCTGTGGCAGCGGAGCACCGCCCCTCATCCGCCTCGCACTAGCCGCTCGCGGTCACCAGCATAATCGCAATGCGAGTAAGCGTGAAACCATGGTCATCATCAGGCATGGTCGTTATCGCCATCATGCTCGTAGTTTGTCATCAGCACCAACGTCGGCATTGGCATCATCAGCCTCCTCCTCCTCCTCCTCCTCCTCCTCCTCCTCCTCCTCCTCATCATCATCATCATCATCATCATCATCATCATCATCATCATCACCAACACCATCATACACATCACCACAATCGTTCACCATCCTCACTACCACAACTACCATCGCAACCACCATTATCAATGTTATCGCCGTGGGCGCGATTATTGTTATCGCCGTCGTCAACGCCCTCATTGCCACAATCACCGTCATCACCTCCATCATCATTGCAATCGCCGTGGTCACGGTTCTTGTCATCGTTATCGTCGCCACTACAATCATCACCATCATCATCAGCATCATCATCATCCTCATCATCATCATCGTCGTCATCATCATAAGCATCATCATCATCAGCAGCATCAGCATCATCATCTACATCATCATCATCGTCATCAACATCATCATCATTATCATCGTCATCATCACCATCATCATGATCAGCATCACCTGCATCATAATCATCGTCCCCCTCATCCTCGTCCCCATCATCCCCTTCTGCAACCTCTCCCACTCCCCAGGAGCAGGTGTGGACAAGGAGAGAGAGGCAGGAGCAAGGGAGCAGACGGGATGGGGGAGATTGCAGGTTATTTGGCCTGGACGGGGCGCACACGACATAGACGCCAAGCTCCATATCACCGATGACTGGCTAGTGGCTTGTCCACCCCGCGAGCGCCTCAATTGACACAACATGTTGGCCACGCTGGCCGGGCGAAACTCCATGGAGCCGTCATGCTGCGAGGCCCCAGGCGAGCAAGAGTCGACAAGAATCACGAATGCATGCACGCGCAGACGCACGCGCAGAATCACGCATGAACACGCTGGCGCGTACGAACACACGCTTGCAGGGATGCACCTGCACGTGCGCACACGCATAACCTTGGTGCGGTCTCGGTCAAGCTCACTCGCACGACTCATACTGGCCGTTGCACTCGGAAGTGGGCGGCCCGCCACCACCACCTGCATTCTAGGAGATTAGTATTGTGGCAGAACGAATATGTTTTGCATCGGATCGAATCGTCATGGGCATTCGCCTGCAGGCGCATCTTACCGATGCCGATGCAAGCTTTCTAGGGGGGACTTCTCCGAACGCCAGTACACGAGCCAACGCTGGCTTGCAGCGAGGCGATGTATGCGGGTTTTGCCACCAGGCTTGCACTACGTAGCTTGCACCACATAGCTAGCGCCACATGAAGCCCAGCCCGGACCATTAAACATTAAGCAATGGTGAAGATGTCTCAAATGAGAAAATTAAAACCGACCCACGAACAGGCCACACTGGAGCCCAAGCCAGGCGAATGCTGAGGATGTCGTAGGCGGGGGGCCCTGCCAAACAAAGCCAAACAAGGCCAGACCAGTGCCGAAATTAAGCAACTTCCAATAGTGTCCTGAGCGAAGCGCCCCAAACCTGCCAACAAAAAAAGTGGATGGCCCAAGAAAGTTCAGCCGCAAGGAATCTTTTTCAATCAGGATGCAGGACTGTATCAGGTCACGGGGTGGCTTGGGCGCAACATCATGAATGTGCCTGGGGCGTACAATCATGCATGTGTATGTCAATTGTTGTTCGGGTTTCTGCGTGGCGTCCGGAAAAATATCCTGCAGCCTAACGTTACACTCATTGCGAAACGATTGTAGTTTCTTGGTCCGCACCCAACAGCTTTCCTGTCACTTTCCAGCGCTGCTTGGTGTTACCCCTCACGAAACCTAGTCAGCCCATGAGTCATCCGCATAGCGCGAAAGCATTCGCACATTGAGAGGTCGCATGTATTACATTGCAGCTAGGCGGAGACCTCAAAGTTGCGACGCACATGTCACACGCATATCTAACAGAACACACTGAGGGACACGCACGATCGACATGAGCAACACGCAGCACCAAATCCCAGCCGTTGTTTATGCTAGAGACACGCGGCTGTCTGCAATAACTAGCTCAACACACTGACAGACAGCTCTGGAGCTGGGAGAAGGGCCAAAGGCAGAGAAGCGAAGTAGCAAACCCGTCATGGCAACCGACATGATCCTCCCGTCATCCACCCCCCCGCCCTGCTTCCGCGCCTCCTGCTGCCCCCCCCCCTTCCCCCCTCTTCCCGCCAGACCGTCCACCCACATCCCGCCTCCTCCTCCGCCTCCTCCTCCTTCTCGCTTGCCCCTCCCTCATAGATGTGCTGGTCGGGCTGCCGAGATCAAGGACTCCGTGCTGACGCTGTGGTGCCACTGCTGTACGGGGGGCCTGTGCTGGGTTGGATGCTGGATCCTAGCAGGCCGCTCACCCAGTGCCGTAACATGGCTACAAGCAGGGCAAGGATGCACACTGAACGCAACGAGTCGTCCGATTCCATCAGATGGATTTCTCTCGCATTTCCCTCCTCCTTCTTCTCCTTCGAATCCGTCTCTCTCCTTCCTGAAGCGCTGGTTGAGCGGGAACGTGCCAGGCTTCAGCTTGAAGAAGCTGATAATGTTTGCGAGGATATTCGCATAGGCTACGACTCCCGTTCCGCCTGCGTGCGTGGGGCAATCGACCGGCCCGTTGCATCAGCGTCCCCGAGTCCATCCACTTCCACATCCTCCCCAGGGCATGTGCTCTGGGGGGACTCATCATCCTCCTTCTGCTTCTCACTGTGCCCTTCCCATTCCCCATCCTGAATACCCTCATCTCCCTCCCCACCGCTCGATGTTGGGCGCGCGCGCGCGCACGCGCCACCGTTAGACGCAAAGGGCACGGGGCTGGGCCTTGCAGACGGGGCACGTGGAGTTGCCAGTGCTCGGCAGGAGGCCGCCGTGCACGGCGGATCGCCTTCCGCCGGATCTGGGGAGGGAGGAGGGAGGACAGGGACTCGAAGCAAACGAGACGTGAGTCGAGCGAGCATCGGACGAGACAGCGCTCCCTCTCTGACGCTGTCTTCCAGGAGGGCAAGCCAGGGCGCATGGGCGAGCGCCCGGTTTGCACCGATAAGCGCCTGGTTTGCCCGGTTTGCGCGAGCAAAAAACTGCATAAACATAAACTTCTGGCGCTCCGCGCGGATGCGGGAAGAGGAAGGAGAAGAGGGGCTGGGTGGGGGAAAGGCAGAGAAAGAGTAGAAGCACAGCGTGGAGCAGTAGGGAAGAGGAGGTGCAGGGAGGAATATGGACAGAGAGGGAGGAGAAAAGCCAGAGGGGGGATGAGGACGGATGGAGAGGGAAGAAGAGGAGGTCGAGCGTGCTCAAAAGGGTTCATTGACGAATCAAGCGCCTACCGCCGCGCCCATATGGATGCGTGGGCATCATCATCATGATCATGAGCATAATCATCATCATCGTCATCATCATCATCATCATCATCATCATCATCAGCATCATCATCATCGTCGTCATCATCAGCATAATCATCAGCATACGTATCATCATAATCATCATCATCAGCAGCATCCGCATCCTAATCGCCATCGTCACCATCGTCATCAGCACCATCACCACCGCCATCATCAGTATCATCATTAGCATCAGTATCATCGGCAACAGCATCATCGTCATCATCAGCATCACCATCATCGTCATCATCATCAAGATCAACAGCATCCTTATCATCATCATCCTCGCCATCAACATCATAATCATAATCCTCCTCATCATCCTCATCATCATCATCATCATCATCATCATCATCGTCATCATCATCAGCATCAGCATCAGCATCATCCTCATCATCATCATCATCATCATCATCAGCATCATCATCATCATCATCATCATCATCATCATCATCATCATCATCATCTGCAGCAGCAGCATCATCATCACAACCACCACCATCATCATCCAGATCGCCCGCGGGAGCTGGAACGTCAAGCCCGACGTGGACTTACAACAACCAGGACTGCATGAACTGCTGACTACAGCGCCTGCATGGAGTACCTCGGCCACTACATGGAATCCCACTGGCGACTGGCAATCACCGAACGCGAGCTCCGCCGCGGCATGCCCGACCGACGCCCATATCCACGACAGGACCCAGAGAGCGGTCCGAGGCGCAGCCGTGCGCCGAGACCATCATGCCAGACCCATTGCCCACGCCAACAACGACGGCGACACCAACGTCGACGCTTCTGGCTCCGGCGGCACCAACGCCGAGGCGAACTGGGCTGGCGGGCCCAAGGGCGCCGCCCGTGCCGCCGCGAGCACCCCCACGGAGACAGTGCCGGCGAAAGCTCCGAAAGGGAGCAGCGGCTGCGACCGCCGTGAGTACGCCTGCGGGGCCAGCACTGGCGCGAGCTCCGAGGGGAGCAGCGGCTGTTGCCGCCGTGAGCACGCCTGCGGGGTCCGTACCAGCGAGAACCTATGGGAACCGCCGCCCACGCGTTCCTGCTCAGCGGACCCCCTGAAGCGCGAGCCCGATGCCGCGCAGGGGGAGGCACACGAGAATGGCGAGGGCTGGGGCGAATCGCATTCCCCAGTGCGTGGAAGCGGGTGCTGCCTCGACGCCCGTGAACCCTGGAAGTCGAGGAGCACCATGGCGCCTCCGCATTTCCCACCGTGGACCTGCTGCTGAGATGGCTGAAAAGGAGCCAGCGGCTCTCCTCGCCATCAGGGGGCAGCACCCACAGGGGCCACAGCACAGCGGCGAGGAAGGAAAGGCAGGACCCTGATTCTCGCCCTGGCGTATCCACATGCCCAGATGGGGCCAGCCTGAGGGGCAACGGGGGAAATGACAGAGGGCTGGAGACCGCTCCAGCGTGGGCGAGTGCTGGCCGAACACCTTCCTAAGCTGTCCGGCCATCTCGTCCGGCCATCTCGCCTGATGGCGGGCTGATAACCTGTGGGCATACGGAAGCAGATCCAGACAGCAAAGACTTCCCTACGGATGATAAAGAGCGGTGATGGTGAGGACGACCGGCACTCCTTCGTGAATCTGGCGAGCATCGCATCTGCAAAAATGGTCGGGAATGCAAGCGGCAGCAACTGGATGCGAGGATGAAAAAGCTCGGTGATCTAGCGCGCCTCGGTGCGTTCAGCCACTGGTGCAGGCAGCCCCAGCAGAAAAGATGCCTGGCCGGGTACATGCTTGAACTCCCTCCGACGACAACTACACCTGGACACACTCGTGCATAGAAAAACACATGCACAAACAAGATGGCGGCAAACAGGAGAAGCTGAGGGGCAAGACGGCCGCGACTGCACCTGAGAAAATGGCAGGAGACAGACTCGTGGGGCAGCAGGGGTGAGGGATGAGGAACGACCAGAAAAGAGGGACGAAGAGATGGGAGCAAGGACGGAGGACAGGACATGGAAGAAAGACAATGCATAATGAACTTGCTGTAAAGGACTGAACGGGGGGGCGGAGGTGGGAGGCGCAGAGGAATATGATGGAGGATGAAGAGGGCATTCCGCCTCTGGGATATCACTCATATGCCCGCCTCCGACCGAATCACGCGCGGAACAAGGGATGCCGGGGGGGGTCCGCTACGGCGAGAAGGACAAACTCGCGTGCCGCTCGACAAGACGAGCGCAGCGATGACGCGGGCCGTGACGTGGCGAGCAGCGCCGCGTAGCGGAACTCTATCGAAGAGGCAACTTCAGAAGCGGCGGCTCGACGGTGCGACGCTGTTTTGCCATCCATGAACCATGGTGACAATCAAACTCACCGACATCCCTTTAGCTGACGGCTGGGATTGTCCGGGGGCAGTACAATGGGGAGAAAGGCACGGGCGGGGATGGAGAGACCGATACAAGCCTCACCAGTTCGGACAGAGGGTCTGTCCAGACCCGCGGCGCGCACACGCCCGCCCGACCTACCTAGAAAGGCAGGAGGTGCCGCAAGTGAGAAGCAGGGGCGGGGGGGGGAGGGGCCGTCCCCGCGAGGACCACGACTGGGAAGGAAAAGAGGAAAGTGGTGATAACAGCGAGACTTGACCCTCTTGAGTACCCGTGAGCAGAGAAGCGCGGGTTTTACATGCGCTCTGGCATGCGTCAACCAGCCCCCGCGACAGAGCAGGCGCCACCTTGGCGCATCCCCCTCGGCCGCCCAGCGTTAGGGCGACGCAAAGGCTGCCAGCAGCTCGCGCAGGGCAACTAGGACATGGATGGGTCAGCACTGGCGTGCGATCGGCGAGCATCCAGGCACGCCTGGTGGCTCGCCCGGGGAGAGGCCCCGAGATGAGCAGGCGCTCGGGCCTGACAAGGGACGATCCAGGCGGTCTGTGCTCTTGGGAGATGTCAAGCTGGGGCCCCGACTGCTCCTGGGTGCTACGCAGCTTATGACCAAACCTAGTCATACATCGATGCGTCGTCGCGATGGCGATAGTGCGAGCATTCCCGCGGACGGGGTCGGCACATAGAACGGCGGCCGCGAGGCGCTGGATGGCGCGCCCCCGCGCGGTGGCCTGCACAGAAGCGAATCGGAAGTTCACCCTGGTAGGTGATGCTGGGGCCGTGAGGCAGTGGTGCCCTCACTCTGGTCCCATCGCCGACAATTGGGTTGGCTGTGCTGGCCGCGCCGACCGCGCCTGGTGGCGGGTGGCTGGGCTGCCTTGGCGCGAGCCGAACACGTTCCTTGGCTGCCTCATCCCCGCCCTGTGGCTGGCGGCCGGGCAGGCTGCCTCGGCGCTAGCCTCGCTCGGTCGGCCTGGCGGAGCGCGTTGCGTTGAGGGCCCGGGCCCTCCCTCCCGGGGGCCCAAAGCCGCAACTCGCCACCGACCCCGCGCAGGTCCTCGCGCTGATCGTCGGCGCCTGGGGCGGGGGCCAGGCGGTCGCCCGCCCCAGGAGGCGCAGGCGCAACGCGACTTCTAGGTGGCGGTGTGGGCCCAAGGAGAGCGGCGTGGGATAAGCCACGTTCTGCCGGGTCGAACCACCGCGCAGCCTGGGGCGCAATCGGCCTGACGCTCGGGGCGGGTTCCCGGCGCCTCCCCGCGCCCAGGGGAACCCTGCGCCGCCGCGCCGCGCTCGCCGCGGTGGCGCGCAACGTGCCGTCTGGGCGGCGCTGGAAGTCGCGCCGCACGCAGCGCTGCTCGCCACTGTCGCGGGTGCGAGGCTGCTGGCGTCCACGGACGCAAGCCCTGGCGGGCCGGGCCATGGGCCCCGACGCACCGCTCGTCGCACTCGCAATAGTAGCGAAGACGTTGGCGCCAGCTCCCGCCGCGCCGCATGACGCCGAGGCGCCCCGCCCCGCGGCGCTGCTCACCGTCGAGACGCCGGTGGCCGACGCGCTGCTGATTGACGCAATGGCCGACGTCGCGCCACTCGACTTCGTCGAGTTGCTGAGCGTCAGGTCACTGATCGTAGACGCGCTGCTAAAGAACGCGACGTTCGATGCACAGCTGATCTCACTCGCGGGCGCAAGGCGGTTGGGACTGGGTCCCGCGGCATGGCCCTCCATCGCATGTCCCAGGCGCGCAGCGCGGAGGAGCGACGCGCGCTGCCCTGCTCTTCGCACTCGCCGAAGCGGGAGTGGCGTCGGCCCCATGCTTCGCAACTGGTGGCCGCAGTGCTCGCTGCGCTGCTCGCCCCCCCCCCCCCCCCCCCCCGCTGGATCGCAGCGCAATGTTCAGCGCCACGGCGCTCAGCTCCGTCGCGCTGCGCGGCGTCGAGGCGCCGGCCACCGGCGCGACGCTGCAAGCCGCCGCGTTCGAAGCAGCGCTCGTCTCGCTCGTTGGTGCGAGGCTGCCGATGCATCGCCCCGCGTTGCGCGCCTCGCGATATTGCTCGCCGCCATCGCGCTGCCCTACGACCCGGAGCTGGCCCCAGACGTTCTGCCCCAGGGCATGGCGCTCGTTTCGCCCCTCTTCCCACTCGCAGCCGCGGGGGCGCCGTCGCTGGGCACAGTCGAAGTGCTCGACGACATGGCGCTCAGCACCGTCGCGCGGCACGGCGCCCGGGCGGTTCTGGACGCATTGCTCGAAGTGGGGGCGCACGTTGCAATGATCGCCTTGCTCGCAAATGCGAGGCTGCCGATGCTGGGCCCCGTCTTTGCTCGCAACGTCACGATGACAAGTCTCGCCGCGCTGCTCCGCGTCGAGGCGCTGGCCCCTGGCGCGCCGCCGGCAGACGCGGCGGCCGCTGCGCTGGTCGCCCCCTTGTAGACGCGAAGCTTCTGGCGCAGTATCCAGTGGCGCCGCGCAGCGTCGCGCTGCTCAGCTCCGTCGCGTTTCCCGGCGTCGAGGCGGGCGCGGCATTCCGCGCGCTGCTCGCCCCGATCGGAGTGAGGCTTCTGTCTGTGGATCCCGCGGCGCTGCGCGTCGCGGTGGTTCCCGGTTCCGCAGTGCTGCGCTGCGCCCCACTGCTGGTCGCGCAGGCGCCACCGGTGGGCGCGCGGCTCGTAGCGCTGCTCGTCGCAATCGTGCATGCGACGCTGCTGGTGCCCGCGAGCGCGAGCCCTGGCGGGCTGGCCGTGGGCCTCGCTGCGCTGCTCGTCGCACTCATGAAATCGAAAGCGTCGGCGTCGGCCCCCGCGGCGCCGCTCGGCGCCGTGGCGCGCCGCCCTCTCGCGCCGCTTAGCGGCGAGGCGCCCGTGACACGCGCGCAGTTGGAAGGCGCGGTGGCGTCTGGCCCCGCCGCGCCGCCCGACTTCGCGGCACTCTCCGTCGCATTGCTCAGAGTCGCGGCGCTGGTCGCAGACGGGCGGCTGAAGGACGCAACGGCCGACGCGCCGATCGCGCCAGTCCGAGACGTGAGGCCGTTGAAGCTGCATCCCGTCGCGCTCGACGTCGCAGTGCTCGACTGCGTCGTGCTACGCCTTGTCAGGAAGATCCCCGGCGCGGCGCTCCAAGCCGCGATGCTCGTTGCTCTGCTCGATCGTCTCACTCGTGGACGCGAAGCTACACGCGCTGGGTCTCGCCTCGATGCGCAACGCTGCGAAACCCGATGCCGTCGCGCTGCTAAGTCGAAGCGGCGGTCAGCGACTTGCTGCTCGAAGTCGCGGCGCTCGTCGCCCTGCTTGTCTCCCCCGCCAGCGCGAGGCTGTCGGCGCTAGATCCCGTCGCGCAGTCCAACGCCGCTGCGCTGAACTCAGTCGCGTTCCCTGGCGCCGAGGTTCGGGTCGCAGCGGTGCCGCCAGAGGACGCATTGCTAGCTGGCCCGTTCGTTTCACTCGTGGGCGTGAGCCTACTGGGGCTGAAGTTCGTCGCGCTGCTCGACGTAGCAGTGCTCGCTTGCGTCGCGCTGCACGGTGTCTGAATGGTCGCAGATATGCCGCTGTGGTACGTGGTCCTCATGGCACTACCCGTCTTACGGTTGGAAGCGCGGCCGTCGGTACTGGATCTCGCTTTGGCGCGCAACGTCGTGCTGGCTCACCCCATCGCTCTGCACAGCGCCGAGCTGATGGCCCCTGACATGTTTCCGAAGACGTTGTGCTCGTCGCACTGCCCGTGCCATTCGTAAACGTGAGGCCATTGATAATCATGTCCGTCGTGCTGGCCGGTGTCACATAGCTGGTACTGCACGTGCTGCACACCGACTTGGTGCCCGTTGCACTGCTCGCCACAATCGCGGGCGCCAGCCCTGGCGGGAAGCCGCGACCGCGAGGGCAGGGGGGGCCAGGCGTGTCTTCGCCTGAATCAGGTTGTTGAACTGGTGCGCTGGAGTGGTGCTCTGAGTAGCTTGGTCTAGTAGTTTAGTGGAACGTACAAGCCGAGGCAAGCTAAGACCGTCAATCGCCCCACGACGCTCAAACAACAAAACTGCGTTGCACAACGCACCCAATGTCATAAGCAATCCTGGCACCCCTGTCGCAGTTGCGCGAAGAGTACGAATTGGCACCAAGGGTGCAATAGACCCCGCCCGCACGAGCATGTCCCTCGGTCAGAACTCGTGGGGGGTCGTGTCGATGATTTCGCGCGGGGACATGTTAGCGCCACTCCTCAGGACGCGGGGGAGAAGCAACGTCATGGGTCCAGTGCTCTTGTCCGCGAGCGGTGGCACGCTGTTCACGAGTATGAGGGCGAGGGCGGGGGCAAGGAGGATGAGGGGTGAGCGCCGGCAAGAGCCCGAGGGGAGCTTGCCCCGATTTGATCCCGAGGGAATCGGCAGCATTGCCATTGGTCATCAAAACCACTCAGCACTGGTTTTGATCCCCCGTGCGAACAATGATGGTGCCGTGCTGGCCGTCAATCGGGTTCTCAACCTGGCTGGCGACCGATACTTCGGTGCCCTCCTGAACGGGCGGAGGCCCAGGTGGTGGGACGAGGCCTGCGGTATCGGGCAACGCTTCGGCCCTGGTGGGCCGTGCGTTTGCTCTGGTGGACCCAGTCTCAATCCCGAAACCGGGCAACCGGTCCCTCATGCTGCGTGGCATTCTGCACGGCAGGCCCACCTCGACAAAGAGATCCCTCACGTCGTCCGACTTGTCCGCTCGCGTGGCTGCAGCCGTGGGAGGTGGTGATGCGGAAAGTGGTGCTGTCAGTGGCGTTGGCCGTGCCGCGGGTGTCACTGAAGCCTCGCCTGGATTCGCCCTGGGTTCCACCCTGGCGGGTGTACCCGTGGGGTTTGGCGGTGGTTGCAACGGATGAATCCATGGTCACCTGGTGGCGCTCACCCTTTCCGAAGCAACCGCTGGGAAGACGACGACAGGGTCCCGCGGATCCCCGGGCAGTACTTCGGCCGTGGTGGAGTTTTAGTGGATGCTTAAAGTGTGTAAGATCCCGTGGACAACCCTGCGAAGTGGAAGCGCGATCGTTACGCCCCAATTTTGAACAGGGATCGACCGTCCTGGCAATCCGATAGGCCTACCACGACATATTCTTTGAACCCAAAAATGCGCGAACAACAAAAGTATCAGCCAGCGTTGATTCCAAATAGATTAGACGACACCAATCAGGGAGTCAGAAGAATCGAACATGTTTGGGATCCGCAACTCAGCAAACAAGCAAGCAAGGGTGCAAGCAAGCGCGCAAGCAAGCAAGCAAGCAAGCAAGCATACATACATACATAAGGGGGGGCATGGGAAAAAAGAGGCAAAAAAGGGGATAGGCATAGGCATAGGGATAGGCATAGCCATAGGAATTAGGGGGGCACAGGAAGCAGGGGGGGAACGGGCCAATTAGTAGGGTTTGAGCTAGGACTCGTATAGAGCAAGCCTATTTGGATAACCATGTTCTTAGAACATAAACCCGATGTGATAAAACACGACAGTCCCAGCCAGACATGTTCTAAGAACATCCCGTGGAAACCACAGAAGGTTCTCAGAACATTCTTCGGTAGGCCTATAGGCGAGCCGGGGCGCTGCACCACTGCTTGACAGTTTGGTGCCTCACGGCCGACGACAGGGGCGGTCGGGGCGGTGCCGTTGCCCCGGTGGGCGCCGGCCGAGGCCGCGGGCCCTGCCGAAGCACGCTCGGTGCCCGCGTTGTGCTTCCAAGGGGGGGGGTGCAGCACGGTGGACTCAGCCCGCAGGGGTTGCATCAGCTCGCCCCCGTGCCCTCGCTGGTCGGAGCGACTGCTGGTAGATCTACAGTCGGACTGGATTGGACAGGACACGCGAGAGGACACAAGACCCTTGCGAAGGCCACATTGCCACAGGAATGTAGGAATCATGGGTCGCGAGACACAGGACACAAGGGTACCCTTGATTTGGCAGGGTCGACCTACTAATCTGGGCCGACTGTAGCCGAGGACAACTTGGTGCATGGTGCTTCTGAGCAAGCTCGTTGTAAGCAGCGACTCCTCGGTCGACGCCACCACTGCTCTGGAGTGTGGTGGCGCAGGCTTCCGTTCGACTGAGGTTGGTCTCCTGCCGATCCGTTAAACTTGCCTCTGGGCGGCCCTTGCCTGGTGGCTTGGGCTGCGGTGGTGCATGAAGCGTACGGCGGGGGCTCTCTGGAACCAATGCGGCGCGCGCGGGAACATGAAAGAGGATGTGACGCGAGTTAGTCCTGTGGTGGGGGCCACTGGTCCGGTCTCGCCAAAGCATCACTGGAATGTTGGGGGGTTCGTGCCTTGGTTTCGCCCTGGGTCTGGATACCCTCGAGCCCAGACTAGGAGAGCCCAGTACAGAGATAGAGAGACCGAGAAGTCAGAGAAAGCGAAAGAGAACGAGAGAGAGACACAGAAACCGAGGACACAGAGACGGAAACAGAGACAGAGAGAGAGAGGAAGAGAGAGACAGAGAAGAAAAACGGCAACAACAACAACAACAACAAAACACAGAGGGAAGAAAAATAAAAGAAAGAGAAAGAGAGAGAGAGAGAGGGCGGGAGGGAGGCGGGGCAAGGACGGAAGAGGGATTGGGGGAGGGCAGACAGACGGGCGGAGAACGCAAGCAGAAAGACGCAGATTCAGCAAGCGAGGCTCCCGCAGCGCGTCACAACCGGGTCGACCGCCTGCGGCGGCGAGGCCGCTGGAGAGCGAGCCGGACGGGTGGACACAAGCGAGCAGAAAGAGGATCCCTCCCCCACTTCCTTTCCTCAGCCCCCCCCCCCCCTTGGAGGCCTGGAAATTCGCACCAACACCAGCACAGGGGGTTGCCTCCACATGGGGGATCTGATCCTAGACTTCGGTGTTGGTGGTAATATTTCGGTCACCTTGGAAACCAGATCATTGCCACCATCACCGAGATCGGGATCGTCTTCCCTCGGTGGAGGCACACCGCCGATCTTGGTGTTGGTGTCAACTTCTACGCCCCCATCCCCTCTCCTCAGCCCCGCGTCTCCACCAGCACAGTCGCCCCCTTCCCCCCTCAGCCTCCCCTTTCCCACTACGGCACCAAGACGGCCGAAGAGGCCTCCAAGATGGCCCTGCAGCGCCCCAAGGAGGACACCAAGACGGCACAGAGAGGCCCCCGAGATGGCCTACAGAGGCGTCCGACGGGCCAAGAGCCCCAAGACGGCCCAAGAGGGCACCCAAAGCCCCCCAAAAGGCCCCCAAGAGGCCCCCACAAAGCCCCTGTGAGGTCCCAGGAGGCCCCGAGAGCCCTTCTCCTCATCCACCGTCTCCTCCCTCTCCTTCTCCTACCTCCCTCATCTGTCTTCCTCCCCTAAGTCTTCCCCAAAGGGTGTCAACCATGGCTGAAGGGGCCCAGGGACACACAAATAAATACACACAAATAACAGGATTCCCCATATTGTTCCATATTTTGTAGGTTCTCGTCTTTCCCCCATTTCCCATACTTTCCCGCATTTTCATAGGAATCAACGATGAAGGTTGTCTGTGTTTTTTCCCTCCTGAATGGCAGGGGGACCACTTAGTCCAGCATCTTGGCCACACTTGGGCCAACCGTTTGGCCACATCGGCGTTTCCAAAGAACAGGGGACGGCGGTGAGCCACCGAAGGCGACATCGATTGTGGATGCATGCGCTGGTATCTGCGTGTGTGAAATAAGCGGCGCAATCTATATATGTATACATGTATATATATATATGTGTAAATATATACATGAATGTATATATATGTATATATATGTATACATATATATACACCATGTGTTGGTATGTGTACATCCATGTATCTAGGATGTGTAGGGTACACGTTTACGCATGCGCCTTCTGGGCAGTTACTCGCTTACCAACGCGCAGATCTGCATCGGCACGCGGTGTATGTGTTCGGACATTCGTAAAACACAACAACAACAACAACAGCAACAACAACAACGACAACGACAATAACAACAACAACCACAACAACAACAACAACAACAACAACAACAACAACAACAACAACAACAAAAACAACAAAAACAAAAACGTCCGAGCGAGGCACCAAAGCAACATGCCTGAATGTATTGCGGAAGTGGAACCGTACGGCCATGCAGGCGTGTGCATGTTCGCGCACAGAGGGGTATGTACATTTCTGCAGAAACCGAAGTTTCTAGGCAAGCAAGCCGGTCACCGTCCCCGAAAAAAGCAAATCAATCGAAAGCGGCCTGGGAAGGTAAAACAATCGGGGCCGTACTGGGAAACCCTGCGCCGGCAGAACTACAAACGAGGGGCTACTCGGCCTTGATGTGTGACCGTCTACCCGCCCACCAAGGTTTGGATGTTGACCCAATCCCAAGCTGGCGGGATTCTTCCCATAGCTGCTGAGGATCGGGAAGAGGAAAGAAAAAGTGAGAACGGGAGAAGGGGGCAGGAGGAAGAGGGAGATGAAGAAGGGAGGAAGAGGAAGAGGAGCAGCAGCAAGGGAGAGAAGTGCAAACGATTCAGGCTCTGTTCTCGAGTTAGCGCAACGTCAATAAAGGGGAAGAAGTGAGGAGAGGGGAGATCGAGGGGAGGAACAGGAAAGGAAACGGGTGTCCGTGCGGTCCTACTGCAGGGTAAGTCCACGCACGTTCTTGCGGGAGTGAGCGAGCGCCGGTTCGGCCCTGCAGCGGCTAGGGCCACGCCCATCAGTGCCGCGAGGTCAGGGCCGTAGCCCAGGGGAAAAAAGTCACATGGGAATATATGTATATTAGCTTCGGGCGAGAGGAGCAGTAAGAAGAGGCAGAGGAGGAAGAGGAGAAGGAGGCGGAAGGAGGCGTAAAACGCTCGCTCCTGACTTTAGTTTCTCTTCGCCGTGCTACCCGCGATCCCAGGGGGCCCGTCCATCCATGCGAGGCTTCCTTTTGATGCTCTGGCGTGTCAGGGCGCCCTTCCGAGCCCAGTCGGCGTCGGAGACTCCGCGACCACTCGGCCGCGAGGTGGGTAGCCGGACGGGCTTTCTCTCACCAGGAGGGCACTCGGAGTCTGACCCGTCCAGCGACCGATTGGTCTCGATCCCAGCTCCAGTCGACAAGCGACTGGGCCGAGACGCTACATGGGATCAGAAGAGAACCTCGGGGCCGCCCCTTTCCCGAGAGCCCGTTCCCAGGTAGTTCGAGTCTCCGCGCCCACCCTCCGCCCCGCAAGCGCACGGGCCGAGAGGGGCGTCGGTCGGCCGCAGGTAAGGACCGGGAGGAGCCAACTGCCATTCCCCTCCTCCGTTCCATCTATTTGGCCTCCCTCCCTCCCATCGTCTCCTGGTCCTCCTGGGTGTCCCCCATACGTATGGCCCTGGCCCGTCGAATTCGGGAGACGCGCCGACAAGACTCGAACGCAATTGCTTGACGCCGCCGTGCGGTTTCACCGTGAATGAATATGTGCGCATATGAATCGTGAGCAACTCCTCCTCCTCCTCCTCCTCCTCCCCCTCCTCCTCCTCCTCCTCCTCCTCCTCCCCCTCCTCCTCCTCCTCCTCCTCCTCCTCCTCCTCCTCCGCCTCCGCCTCCGCCTCCGCCTCCGCCTCCGCCTCCGCCTCCTCCTCCTCCTCCTCTCCTCCCTCCTCCTCCTCCTCCTCCTCCTCCTCCTCCTCCTCCTCCCCCTCCTCCCCCTCCTCCTCCTCTCCTCCTCCCTCCCCCCCGCCTCCGCCTCCGCTCCGCCTCCGCCGCCGCCTCCTCCTCCTCCTCCTCCTCCTCCTCCTCCTCCTCCTCCTCCTCCTCCTCCTCCTCTCCTCCTCCTCCTCCTCCTCCTCCTCCTCCTCTCCTCCTCCTCCTCTCCTCCTCCTCCTCCTCCTCCTCCTCCTCCTCCTCCTCCTCCTCCTCCTCCTCCTCCTCCTCCTCCTCCTCCTCCTCCCTCCTCCTCCTCCTCCTCCTCCTCCTCCTCCTCCTCCTCCTCCTCCTCCTCCTCCTCCTCCTCCTCCTCCTCCTCTCTCCTCCTCCTCCTCCCTCCTCCTCCTCCTCCTCCTCTTCCGACCCTCTACACCCAATTAGGTGGAAAGCCGGGAACCCTTGGAATTCTGAGGGGATCTAGAGCGCGCCCGGAGGCAGCCCAGGGAGGGTGTGCGACCTACCTCGAGCATAATCCTGGCCCGCTATAACAGCAGAGAAGAGAAGACGAATTACGCGCCGTCGGAAGAGCAGGATGGCAAGACCAGGAGGAGGAGAGGCCGAGGAGAGAGGGGAGAGGAGGAGAGGGAAGGCAGCTGGAGGGAGGAGGGGAGGGGAGAGATGAGGAGAGAGAGACGGGGGAGACGAGGAGGGGGAAGAGTGGACCTTCCGAGAAAATCTCCGCGCGGCGGGGAGCACCGATGGGCCCTCTCCTGGGCGGCCTCCCTCCCAAAGCGTGGGCGAAAGAGGGAGCGCGCGCCGCAACCCCCGCGCGGGCACGCCGCTTCCAGGCGACCTCTGTGCGGAGCTCCAGGCGCACGGCCCCGCCCGCCGTCGGCTCGGCGAGTGCAGAGCGCCAGGTTGGGAGCGCCACCTTCGGGCGAAATCTGCGCGGCGCCGCGGCGAGAGCGACATGTTCGTGTGCTCGCGCGCGACCCCGCCGTCGACGAAGGGGCGAGCGAAGCGGAGGTGCAACGCGCCCAGCCGGGAATCCAGTTCTCAGGAAAAGGGAGAGCAGCGCCGAAGCGAGAGCGACAGTTCGCCCTTCCCGTGCGTGATGTGTACCCCGTCCCGCTCCTGCCACGCATTTGGCAGCGTTGACGCAGAAACGTGAATGTTGAAAGAAACAACGCCGACTTCTCATGGTTCTTGATGGGTGGGATGGAACGTCACGTATGGGGAGGCTACCTGGTCGCCAGGTGCCCTAGAGGGAGTAGAAAGAACGAGGATACGTGGCGGGCGGGGGATGAGGACGAGGAGGAGAACACGGGGAGAGGAAGGCTACGGGGGAGGAGGACAGAGGGGAGGAGGACAAAAAGGGAGGAGGATCAAGAGGGAGGATCATCAGGCGAGGAACCACACACAACAAAAAAAAAAACAGGAGCTCGGCTCGCCTCCGAGGCGCGACCAACGGAGTGGCGCCCGGGGGGGGCGCGGCCTCCCGAGACCCCCAAGAGGAGCCCGGGTGCAGGTCAGTGCGATAGGGGGAGGTGCGAGTCGCGCCTCGCGCCCGAGCGCGCGCGGCACGCGGCACCGCAGCCCGAGGCTCCACGCACAGAGGTCCTGGGGAGAGCGCTCGAGCGCTGGGGGACTTGCGACCGCCCACGGCCGAGCAAGTTTGACGGCACCCCTGGGAGGCCCCGAGGTGGCTCGGCCCAGGGGGGCCAGGGACAGTCGGGCCGGGCGAAGGGGGGGGATGGCAAAAGGGGGGGGGGGAGAATCAGCTCACATAGCTGATTTTCCCGGCGCCTCCCGGCGCCGGAGGCGGCCATGTATCGAGGAATGGGCCTGGCGGCGGGGCCGAAACCAGCTGCATGTAGCAGATTTCGTAACCCCCCCTTTCCCAATCCCCCCCTTTCGTCCGGCCCGGGACAGGAGGGCACAGCCACTGTAGATTGGCATGCGGCCCAGGACGCTGGGGGAGTGCCCTCTCCCGTGCGTGCGAATTCTCCCGCTCACCCTGTCCCGCCGCACGCCCGCGGAGTTGCATCGCAAAGGCCTGGCCCGCAGGGCAGCAGCGCGAGGCGCGAGACCGACAGGGATGGCGAGACGGCACGCAGTAATGAAGCCACACTGGGGGGGCCCTGCTCACGAGCTCTCTCGCCCGGCCCTGGCGGGCACTCTGGGAGAGCGCCGCCGAGGGGATCGGGTCCCCGATCGCCCCTTCGGGCCCTGAGCGCTGGCGGCCGAGGGGGGCGGCCTGAGCATGGGGCCGGGGGGGGGGGGGGCGGCCTTCTCGGAGGGCAGGGGGCCCCATCCCAAAGGAGCTGCACAGATATCAACTGTCGGAGGTCCGCGCGGGCTTCTTGGATCGGCGCTGACGCCCCTCCCCGGCGCGCGGAGGGCGCCAAGGGGCGGCGCCGGAGGCGCCACAAAGGGGGGCCCCGCGCAGATCCAAAGAGTCCGCGCGGACCTCCGAAAGTTTTTGCAGCTTCTGCTGCTGTTCTTCGAGCGCCTCTCGCCTCCCCAACCGACTCCTTCGCGTGCCGCACAGAGCGGCTCCCAGCCGCTCTCTCGCGGCGGCGCGACGGCCGAGGCCAGCGCTCTCGCGAGAGGGACCGGCAGCCCTGAGCCTACTTTTTCTTCTGGACGTCCCCGTCCAGGAAGGGGCCCCGCCCGCCTCGATCGGCACCATCCGACTCGATCGGGGCCGCGGAGGACATGGTCGCGAACAGGAGTGCCGACGCCACGTTCAGCAGCGCCACCGACTGGAAGGCCGCGGCCCAGTCACCGGTCGCGTCGCGCAGCTGCGCTACGACTAGCGGCCCCACGGTGGAGCCCACGCTGCCAACGGTGTTCCCTATTCCGCTGACCAGGCCGCCATGGCTGGTCGTGACATCCATGTAGTTCGCTTTGAAGCCGCTCGGGTGCAGAGCCAAAAAGCTAAATGCCACGGAGAAGAACACCGTCGTCCAAGTCGGACTAGTGACGGTGGGCACTAGAACGAAGAAGACCGCGAGCCCCAGAAAGCCGACGACGCTGAACATCCTGCGGCATTGCAAGGTGTCGGCCCCGCAGTCATTCATCTTGCGCTCCAGGGACGGGTTCACCAGCACCTTCACCAGCGAATTGGCCACGTGCGGCATGGAGAGGTGCAGCCCGGCCTGTTCGGGGCGGAGGCCGAACGACTCGAGGTAGTATGTAGCAGACCAGCTGGTAACGAAATAAGTTGCGTAGTTGAATGTGAAGTGCGAACCGTAGATGGCCCACAGCCGCGCGTAGGAGAAGCAGTCGAGGCAGGCCCACTGACCTGCAGGAACGCCCAACTCCTTCTGCTTGCCCTTGCTCTTCGGCAGGGACGACCCCAGAAAGGCCAGCTCCTCAGCGCTGCAGTACGCGCAGTCGGCGGGGCTGTCTGCGGCCAGCCACGCCCAAACGAAGGCGTACGTCAACATCCCCAGTCCGTAGAGTGTGAACGCAGACTTCCAGCCAGCATTCACAGCGAGGACTCCAGACAGGGGCACCACGATGAGAGAGCCCAGGGTAATACCCGAGTCCAGCGCCGTGCTAGCCACCGCCCGTTCTTCGGCGGGTAACCACCGCGCGAGCAGCTGGATGCTTGCAGGGAAAAGCGGGCCCATCGCGACTCCCATGGCGGCCTGGCAGACGGCGATGCCCTGGAGCCCGAAGGCTGACGCAGCGGCAGGCGTCGCTGCCACCGCGAGGCCTGAGAGACCCAACGCGCACGACACCACGCTCTTGCCGCCCAGCCGGTCGGCCACATAGCCACCGAGAACCTGCGTCGAGCAGTAGCCAGCCGCGTGGGCCGACAGGAGCCAACCCTTTGCCCCCGTGCCGCACTGCATGTCCTCACAGAGGGGGATCACCAGCGAGCCAATGGCCATCCGCAAGATACTCTGGCTCACCCTAGTGAAGAAGATCAGCGCGACCACCCGATGGCGTGCCGCCACGCGCGCTCCTCTCGTAGCCCTGACATCGTCGCACGGCTGAGTGCCCAACTTCGCCTCGGGACAATGCTCTCCTACGGAACCGCCCTGCTCTATGAGCTCCTCCACCGCCTTATCATTACGCTAGCAAAACAGAGCGAGAGTGAGCGACACACTTCGATCCCGGCCTCGTCCTGACCTGGCTGGCCTGAGCCAGCCCAACCCGCGGAGCACCCGGCTGATCGAAGGCCGATCGACCGTCCTGATCTGGACCGACCAGCGGATCGGTGGGACTAGCTACCTGACCTGGCCCAGATCGACGGATCCAGGTCTTCTAAGACCGCTACCATGCCGCCAAGCGGTCGGTGAGCACTGCGCCCGACGCACCGCGTCCGACGCGAGGGAGCGGAGGGCGAAGCCGGCAGAGCCCCGGCGAGGCTCGGTGCTCGCTGGAGACCACATGGCTGCGAACGAAACGAGGGATGGAGAGCAGGAGGAGGTCAGCGGGGGGAGGGGCCATGGCCAAAGTAGACCAGGTAGCCAAGCGTGGCGACGCAGCTCCACCAAGGTATGCAACAGGGAGCGAGGCCTGTGGCTCCTGAAGACAGAGCGGTGTGGGCCTCTTCTCCGACTGGGAGGCATAGGACGCTGCGGGAGAACTGATGGGTGCCAATACGGAGGGCAGTCAGGCAAGGGGAAATCCACCTGCAGCCCTGTCAGACAGGCCAACGGAGGGTCACTGCTCTGTCAATACGATCGACGATGCTGGGAGGGTGCACGATCCCATAGGCAGAGCGTGAAAGTAGTGATGAACAATCTATTCCTAGGGCCTGCAGCCGGAGCAAGGTTCACGGCTGTTACAGATAGGGGTGATCCCGGTGCACTTCGGATCCGAAGCTGGGAGCGAGCCCAAGCCTCCTATGAAAGAAGCAACCAAGGGCGGCGAACCTGCTCGTTGGATCGACTACCCAGGAGAAGCGAATGCCTCCCATAGACAGAATAACCAGCGGTATCTGTTCTGCTTGCAGCGAAGGCTGCAGGCGGAGAGCCCACAAGAGCGCCTACGGTTGGGACTAAAAAGCGTAGGAACTTTACAGCTCGCCTAGACGGAGTTCCCAAGGGTGGCTACATTGCCCATGGGATCGACAGCAGGCACAGGGGTGGCGGCCACTATAGGCGGGCAAGGTGGCTACGACCCCGTCATTGAGACAGTCAGCGAGGGGAGGGCACACTGACCTTTCCGACCGACAAAGCATGTCATAATGGACCACTGTCTCCCTCCCTCGCTATCTATATCTCTATCTCTCCCTATATGCTTGTAGTTTCTCTCTCTCTCTCTCTCTTCCTCTCTCACTCTCACTCTCTCTCTATCTCTCATCCCTCCCCTTTTATGCATTACTAGCGTGCGCTTAGAGTCTAACAATCTCAAATTGTAGTCTGAAGTGCCCGGCATCGGAGGACATGTATATATGTATATAGTCACACGGATCGTGCACCTCAGGGAGCTCCACCTGCGGCCCCAGAGACAGGCTTGGCTTAGGATCCCCCCGCCCATGCCTGCACACCCCTCACAGGGATCGCGCCCCACAAGGAGATCCACCGACGTCCCCATAGACGAGGTTCGGATAATGGCGCGCCCCTCACGCGGATCGCGCCTCGCAAGTACATGCATTTGCGGCACCAGAGGGGGGGCTGCATAGCATCGCCCCGCTCACTTCGGCACACCTCTCGCACGGATCGCGGCTCGCAAGGAGTTCCACGGACGGCCCCAGAGACAAAGTCTGCATCCCGCCCTCCCGCCTGCTTCGGCACACCTCTCACACGATTCGTGGCCCACGGGGATCTCCTCCCACGGCCCCAGAGCCAAAGTTCGCACTGACTGCGCCCTCCCCCCCGGGGCCATTGTGGCACACCCCATCACGCGGAGAGCGCCCTCAAGGAGCACCACCTAAAGGCACAGAGACAGGGTTCGTAAAACGCCCACCCACCCCCGCCCATGTTAGCACACCTGTCACGCGAATCGTGCCCAGAAGGAGCTCCAACCATGGCACCAATGGGCAGCTTCGCATGGCGCCCCCGCGCTCATTTACCTGTGGCCTCAGTGGGCGTCTTCGCGCGGCCCTTCACGCGGATCGTGCCTCACAAAGAGTTCAGCGGACCCGTGAAAGCATTCCTCGCGACAGCCATCTTTCCGCATTGCCCCGCGGCGCGCAGTGTATGAAGAGAGACCCGCGCCGTGCACTACACATGACTGCATAGGGATGGGTCCGTCGCCAAACCAAGTGCTTACTAATCAACGGCCTTCAGCCCGAACCGCTACTGTGCCTGAGCTTTAGACCAGAGGATTCTTAGATGCCTGTAATTCGGGGTCTCTTGGCATGCCCCTCGTGCACCTCGTAAAGCGAGTTTGAAGCTTCTTGTGGCCTCATGCGGGCAATGTGGAGGCCTCTTGTGGCCTCTTTTGGGGCCCTTGGGGGCCGCTTGGTTCCCTGCTGCAGCAAGGGGAAATGGCAGTTGGAGTTCCCCCTCTTGGACTCCTCTTGGGGCCGTCTTGGGCCGTCTTGGGCGCCTCTTGGACCGTCTTGGGGCTGGCTGGCCGTCCTGGGATCCTTTTTGAGGCCTCTTGGGCCGTGATGGGGCGATCTGTAGGGCCTCTTGGGCCGCTTTGGACGATGTCAAGACCCAATGTGCGAATACGTTTAAACGATTCGCTTCCCACGGGAATGAAACATTTTTGGCCTCTTGGGGCCCTCTCGAGGCGCATCTTGGAGCCTTCTTAGGACATCTTCGGGGTCTCTTGACCCGTCTTGAAACAATTATTCGGGCGTCTTCGGCCCTGTCAGGCCGCTCTGGTCGAATCTTTGGCGGCCTCCAGAACAGTTTTGAGCGGCGGAGGCCCCGGAAGGAGTCAATCATGTCGCGAGTCCAGAGAGAATTCGCTAGGGTGTCCCCGCCCGGGCCCCGGCCCGCAGTACCGGCAGCAGCACCAGCAGCACCACCTACAGCAGCACCAACACCAATACCACTCAAGCGAGACAGCTTGCGTGACCGCTCTTGGAGGCCTCTTGGTCCGCCTTGGACCGTCGGAAAACTGGAACGGCGAGAGCTCGAAAATCCTTCGATACCAGCTAGATTACATTAATTTGGCTCTTGGGGGGGCCTCGTGGAGGCCTCGTGGAGGCCTCCTGGAGGTCTCTTGGAGGCCTCTTCGGGCCTCTTGGGAGCTTCTTGGGGGCCTCTCGGGGCTTCCAGGGCCCTATGGGCAGAGGACTCGAATGCTCTTTCGGGGCCCCCGCTCTCTTCAAGTCGTATTGGAAGCCTCTGGCGCCGTCTTGGAAACCTCTTCGGCCGTCTTGGAGCCCTCTCGGGGCCGTCTTGGAGCTCTCTCGGAGCGTCTTGGGGCGCTCTTGCGAGCCTCGTGGGCAATGTTGGGGCGATCTTGGAGGCCTCTTGGCGGCGTCTAAGGCCGCCTTGAAACGCTGGAAAACCGAGAAGGCGAGAATGGGAAATCCTTCGAAACGTTAGAAAAATAATGAATTTGGCTGGTTGGGAGGTCTCGTGGAGGCCTCGTGAAGCCTCTTGGAGGCCTCGCGGGGGCCTCTTGACGGCCTCTTCGGGCCTCTTGAGGGATTCTTGGGGGCCTCTCGGAGCTTCATGGGGGCCTCTCGAGGCCGAAAGCTCGAAATGTCTGTTCGGGGCCCCTGTCTGGACGCTCTCTGAAGCCGTCTTGAAAGGCCTCTGGGGCCGTCTTGGGAGCCTCCTCGGCCGTCGTGGAGCCCTCTCGGGGCCGTCTTGGAGCTCTCTCGGGGCGTCTGGGGACTCTTTTTGCAGACCTCATCTTGGAGGCCTCTTGGTGGCGTCTCGGGCTGCCTTGGAGCGTTGGGATGTTGGAAAGGCGAGAAAGCGAAAATCCTTCGAAACCGATGAAAAATCATGAATTTGGCTGGTTGGGAATCTCGTGGAGGCCTCTTGGAGGCCTCGCGGGGGCCTCTTGGAGGCCTCTTCGGGCCTCTTGGGGGGTTCTCGGGGGCCTCTCGGAGCTTCCTGGGGGCCTCTCGGGGCCGAGGGCTCGAAATGTCCATTCGGGGCTCCGTCTGGATCCTCTCTGAAGTCGTCTTGGGGGCCGCTGGGGCCATCTCGGAGGCCTCCTCGGCCGTCGTGGAGCTCTCTCGGGGCATCTTGGGGCTTGCTTGGGAGCCTCTTGGTAGTTATTGGAGCGTCCCTGGCGGCGTCTCGGGCCTCCTGGGAACGCTGGGAAGCCGAAAAGGCGAGAAAACCAACTGTGTTCAAAGACATCGAACGTTGAGTGTTTGTGTCCCTTGGGAGGCCTAGTCGAGGCTCTTGGGGGGCCTCTTGGAGGCCGCTTGGGGCGCCTTGGAGGCCATTTCTCTTGGACAGTGCGGCGCCAGTTCGGGCCAAGCGCGGGGAAGACTGAGGTCGAAGTGCAACTCATTCAATCCAACGCCAACGTTGATCACTGGGGGGGGGGCATTGGCAGATGAATGTGGCATGAATGCTCGCAAATGGCTTCCGAGACCTGTAGGCCCTTTTGGCGGTCCCGAAGCGCACTTTCAAGCAACCCAGGGCCGTCTTAGGGCAATGCTTGGAGGGCATCCGGCGCGCCGGCAGGGCCCTGGGCAGCCCCATCCACACATCTGCGCTCGGGGGGCCAGCCCAGGGGCCCCTGGACCCAGGTCCCCGCTTGTGTGCGAGGATGTATGCATATATAGTTTGCGAGCAACGGGGGAACTCACGACTCCAGCATAAAGTGAGAAGAAGGGACGGCTCCTATATCGGCTTGGAGACGACGGGGGTGCTCACGACTCCCGCGTAGGAGTGTCGATACCGCTGTGTTGGAAGGGCTGACGGTTTTTCCAGACAGTGACCACGAGAGAGAAGTATGCGTTTCAGAATGAGCCAGCTCGGGGGTGTACCACGGTTCGCGCAGACTGAGTAGCCAGGGGAGGGCTGCTGTCTCGACAGGGACTCTGGCTGAAGGAATACCCACGGCTCCAAAGCACAGGGCTGGCTCCATCCGCACCGAATACCAATGTCCGGTCGAGTCGGAGCCAAGATCGAATCGGGCCGCGACGGGTCGAGATCGGAATCGAATCCGATCGGGCGGACGGCACGGGATTCAGTCGAAACGGCTACTAATATGAGGCGGTCACCCTCTGCATCACTTCAATAATCCTGTATCCGGGTACATGGTGACTCTGCTCAATGGTCGCGCAGCTCAATGCAATATTACGAAGAAGTCATCCGTAAGCATGGCTCCTGGCACGTAGCTGAGAGAAATGATGCGAGGGAGATGCGGCTGGGATGGGGCGCTTTCAGGCAGGACCCATCGTCGACATCACAATCATCATCATCATCATCATCATCATCATCATCATCATCATCATCATCATCATCATCATCATCATCAACCACCATCATCATCATCATCACCAGCATCATCATAGTCATCATTAACATCATTCCCATCATCATCACATCAGCATCCTCATCAACAGCAGCAACATTCACAGCAACACCGACATCATCATAATCATCATCAGCATCGTCATCAGCATCAGCATCATAAGCATCATCATCAGCATCATCATCAGCGGCATCATCATCATCAGCCTCACAATCGTCATCATCAGCGTCACCGTCACCATCATCCTCGTCATCCATCCTCGTCATCATCATCATCATCAGCATCTCCATCCGCGTAAATCGCATCAACATCCTCACCACATCATCAGCATCAGCATCATTAGCAGCATCATCATCATCAACACCATCAGCTTCATCATCCTCATCAACATCATCACCATCGTCATCATCAGCATCATCTCCGACATCATCATGAACAGCAGCAGCCGCATCATGATCATTACCATCGCCACCGCCATCAGCATCAGCATCATCCTCACCATCATCAGCATCATCATCATCGTCGTCAACATCATCATCATCGTCGTCATCATCATCATCAGCATCATCATACTCATCATCATCAGCATCGATACAACCACCACCACCATCATCATCAGTATCATCATCATCAGCAGCAGCATCATCATCATCGCAATCAGTATGATCATCACCATCATTATAACCATCATCAGCATCATCATCATCATCGGCATTGTCATCATCAGCATGATCGGCAGCATCGTCGTCCTCCTCATCATCCTCATCATCACCACCGCCAGCATCAACATCACCACCCCTCACCATCGTCATCATCATCACAAGGATCGACATCGCCATCGTGGTCATCCTCAGCATCATCATCAGCATCAGCATTAGCATCAGCACCAACATCATAAAATTCATCATCTTCTTCATATGTTCCATCATTGCCATCATCATGAGCGTCACGATCAACCCCATCATCATCATCATCATCAGCATCATCATCATCATCAGCATCAGCATCATCATCATCATCGTCATGCTGCTGCTGCTGTACTTCCCTCTGCCTTCTTCCCTCCAATGGGCAAGCCACCTGCTCAAGGCACACGTTGCACTCCATCCCGGCACGGACGCGGCGCCCAGGAGCCCGTCCAGCGGCAAGAGGCCGGCCGGGCTGGCGCCCGAATGCGGCACAGATCCTCCTCGCCCGCCTGGTGCTCGTCCTCCTGCTCCTCCTGCTCCTCCTGCTCCTCCTCCTCCTCCTCCTCCTCCTCCTCCTCCTCCTCCTCCTCCTCCTCCTCCTCCTCCTCCTCCTCCTCCTCCTCCCTCCTGATCATGCTCCTGCTCCTGCTCCTGCTCCTCGTGTTCCCCGCCCGCATCTCATCCTCCTCCTGCTCCTCCTCGTCCTGCTCCTGGCATTCCTCCTGCTCATACGTATTACCCTTCTCCTCCCAGTCGTCCTCCCCCTCCTCCTCCTCTTCCTCCTCCTCACCCTCCTCCTGCTCTTTGCCATCTGTCTCGCCCTGCTGGCGTTGCTCCTTGTATTCGTCAGCTTCCTTCCATTGCGAGGTTTGGAAACCACGACTTGAATGAATGAACTCCGCCCTGGCCTGGAGTATGAAGAGAGTTCTAGAAGAGGGCCAGTTGTCGCAATGGTCAGCTCGAGGGAAACGTCCGTGGAAACGCGTCCATGCTACATGTGTTTTGCAAGGGGGTCTGAACGCCGACGCCACACCTTGGCAGGCCACAGTGGGTCCAAAGTCCGTGGCAAGACGGGGGAGGAGAGGGAGGGGAGAAGGTGCAAGGGTAAGAGAGGTAAGAATGGGAAGGGGGAGGAAACCGAGGGGGGGAAAGAAAGGGAGGAGGAAGAAAAGGGTGAGGGGGGCTGGGAGGAAGAAAGGAAGGGGGAGAGGGAGGGAAAAGAGGATGAGAGGGAGAAAAAGGGGGGGGGAAGGGGAAAGAGGGGGATAGGGAGAAAGAGAAAGAGAGAGAAGAGAGAGAGAGAGAGAGAGAGAGATATGGAGCAAAAGAGAGATAGGGAGAGTGAGAGAGAGAGGAGTCGATATGTGCATTTGGATACAGAAGAGGGTCGACTCTCTGAATCTACGATGCATGTACGGTAGTACACACACGGACTGGAGACGACAGAAAGAAAAAGAGGAGAGACAGAAAGAGAGCGAGCGAGAGAGATACTGCTCTTGGCGAAGAAGACGGGAGCGGACACCGAACGATCCGCTGCCCCTCCAGGGGGCTACCATCACAACGGAATTGCTTTGCAGGGGCTGGAGAGGGTGAGGGTGAAGGCCACCGAGAGCGCGTCCGACCCGAACACGCCTCAGGAACAAATGAGAACCCTGAGGGGCCGCAAGGCGGCGGAAATATTATGTACTGAGAGGGCGGGCGGGGGCCAGGGAAAACCGACGCCTCGAAACCACTCCCAGGAGGGCAAGACGAGTTACGTCTGCGCCTTGCCCTCGGGGCGCTTGGGGCGCCCTTGGCGGCCGTGGAAGATCCTGTCGATCAACCCCGGCTGATTGGCCCTCGTGCTCGGATTCTCTGAGAGCCCAGCACAGGGACGACGGAGCTTCCGAACGCTCCGAGACGTCTCGAGGGTCGTCGTGCCAGCACACTTACGGCAACAGTAGACCGAATTCACGCAGAAAACATCGCGGCCCAGAGCCGCAAACTCGGCAATGAGCTCGTTCGACCCCGAACAGTTTGAAACCTCGCCGACCACAGGCTCCTGGGGAGGGTCCGTGGGCCCAGGAAGGGGTCCCTCCGAGGCCTCGCAATGCCCTTCTCCCAAAAAGTCCGCGACAAGCACCTGTGACGGGGCAATGCGGGGGTCCGACACTTTGACCCAGACCTCCACCGAATTCTTAAACCATTCAGCACAGGCCAGACTCATTTCCTTCCCGACCCAGTCCTAAGCCAAGCAAGAGTCGAGTCCGATCGAGCCGATCTCCCACATCTCCTGCACCTATGCTCTTTGAGTTTCCTGCACCACCAGAGATCATGATCTGAACCACGTCCGAACACGACTGGCTGCCTCAGAACCTCACGGGCCTCAGGATCCTGAACGGGCGGCGGAGGACCTCGACCCCAACTCTCCGAGACGATGACTCGTAAGCACGCCCACGAAACAAACTGCAACGTGGCCTTATGGACCTTCAGAGCCTCTGTGAGCGACTCAGAAACCGCGTTGGCGATCATGTGGTGCGCTGCACCTGCCTTGGCGAAGTAATCAGCCCAGGCATTGCCGAGCCAGTTCTCCAACCCCTCAGGATTCTCCAGCACACTGTCGAGGTCACGGTGTGCAGGAGTCCACTCAAAACAAACTGGGTACTCAAGTGCACGACGCTGCGCAGCCTGAAAAATCTCGCGCCAGATCCTGGCGTGCTTGCCTCGACCGTGCTGAAGGGATTGATCCCAAGACTTGCCCTCGGTAACCAGCCCCAGGAGATCAGACACGAACAGCTCGTGATCAGGATGAAATTCCAAACCCATTTTGATCGCATATCTCTCAGCACGGCCAACGGTCTGCACATAGAAGGGCAGCGGTCCATACACTGCACGAACAGGCAAAAGGGTCTTGGGGTCCAGCTGGATGCATGAATACCCACACCTCCTAGTCTCTGGAACACTGGAGGCGAGGCCCGAACCGTCGGTGTAGCTCTTGGGGCCCCAAGGCCCGTCGGTGTCGCCCCACAGTAGAACTTCCGAACTTATAGCGTCGAGCCCAGGAATACCCACAGGAGGAGCAGGGGCCCCAAAGACCAGATAATTGGACTCCCAAGCCAGACGCCCATCATACCATTCGCCCCCCTTCAAGAGCATGCCTCTGGCTGCCTCCAAGTCCTCTGAGATGTCCAAGAAGTCCTCACGCTGCGTGAGCAGCACGGGGCAGTCGTAGAGCACGTGGCCCCAAATACCCTGAGACTGGGCCCCACAAGCTGCACACGGCCTGATTGGTACCTTATGACGGGCATCTTGGAGCTGAGGGATGGGGAGGTTCCCTGACCAGTGCGCTTGGAGGGTCCCGAGTCTACGAATACACTTGATACTCTTCACCGAGTTGCGTAAGCCTCGGTGCCATATCTGCTCGCCAGGCTCAGCGGTGTAAAAATGCTTGAGCAGCCGCTCGTCCTGCCAACGCTGGATCCCCTGGGTGAGGAACACCTTCAGGTCGGCAGGGCACATAACGCGCAAGTCGAAAACATTGCCTAAATCATCAGCCACCATATGACTAGATACTAGGTTCCACCCAATACGTCGTAAAGTCAGCCAGCAGGCCCCGATCGGGCCTCGAGTGTTAGCCCAGGACAGTGTGCCGATCTTATCTCGGAGAGCCTCCCAAGCCCGATGTAGACGACTGTCGGGTATTCTACCGTCCCAGACCCACCCCGCAAATTTAATAACAATAGCTATAGTGGCGTGGTAAATAGGATCGTAAAATTCGCTCTTGTGGCTAATCAAGTAGGCGGTCACACCAGTGTTAAACTTACCTGGCGCGCCGTTCAAGACGGCGGCGAAAAGACGCAACCCTCGAAGTGCAACGTCGCTTACTCCAGCAACTGCAGCACCGTGCGCCACTGATGGAAGGGCGCCTGTGCGCCACAAAGCCGCCGCGACCTTGCCGACCGCAGACTTCAGCATGGAAAACCTCGCCTTTCTCTCTCTGAGCTGTTTGAGACGCTTCTTTTCCATACCCCGAATAACCTTGGGCCCCGTGAGCTCGTGACCTAGGTTCCTCATGTGGCCTTTGTACGGGATCTTCATGGAGCCCATGTGGCTCTGCACCCCCTTCCAGAACTTCCGAGAACCAACAACAGCCCCAGACTTGGAAGCCTTCAAGATCATGCCGATACCCTTGGAGTCCTGGATGAAACCCTTCGCAGCCAGCGCAAGGTACTTGGCCCCCCTGGGGTCCTGGGAGGTATGTTGGAGCCCAATGTCGTCCATGAGCGTCCTCGGGGTCACCGTGGGGGAGACCTTCGAGACCCTCTGCACCGACCTATAGGTGAACAAGTACAAGACGTATGTGGCGTGGGTACACCCAGCTAGGATCCCTTGGAAGGACCGAAAAGATCTGGATACACTCCCAAAGGCCCTTATTCGGCGGGGCTGTTGGTAGCTCTGAATGATGAGCCAAAGCAAACGCAGTGGAAACCCAAGAGCCTGGCCTTCTCGGAGCAGCGCATGTGGGTCCACCATGTCATAACATTTGCTCATGTCAAGCAATATTGTACATGTCTGTTCCCCCAACAACTGCGCAACCTCCTGCTGAATATTAGGATCAAAAGCCGAGTCCGTGGACGTGTGGCCCGCTCTGGTGCCCCACATCTGGTCGCACTGATAGCCAGCCTGCTACGATGCCGAGACTGGTCTCCTGAGCTTGCCCCAGAGTCGAACCAAAGCGTGGGATAGCACAATCAATCGTGTGTCCCCGTCAGGTTTAGGTAAGCGAACCATTTCACTGTAAACCCGCTCAGGAGGCCAGGACAGCCACTGCTCGAAAAGCGTAAACATCTTGGCGATGCGCTCGGGCGCTTGGTCCGACAGAGCGTCCAGGCATCTGGGTGAGATACGGCTCGGCCCAGCTGCCGTACGCGTCGAAAACTTGCGAATGGCAGCCCGCACTTGCTGGTGGTCGAGCTCAGGCAGAGCGGGCCAGCTCTCATGGCCTGGCGGCAGCTCTGGGGGCGACAGGTCGTGAAGTCGCCATGCGCCTTCCCACACATCGAGGGTGTGGTTTGCCAGCAGGTACGGCTGGGCGTTCACGTCGAAATTGAGCTGCTCCTGCTTGCCGCGCACCTTGGAAGCAGCATGGGCCAGACTGGCCCCTCCTAAGAAAGCCTGCTTGGCCCAGCCACGCCAAGCCTTCTCCGAGGCCCCTCTCGCTGCCTTCAACACCGCATCGGCCTTCAGCATGATGTTGTCCAGGCCCGAGTCGAAGTCGGCGTCACCGATCATGCCCAGGCCTCGCAGCAGGAAGTCGACGGTGTCCTGATCTAGGTGGTGGCATGTCTTTTTGTCGCGGGCGGTCCTACGGCAATATTGGTCCACCTCGTAGAAGGCCTGCAGCACCTTGGTATACTGCAGGGGCGTAAGCTGGCAGACCACAGAAGCCAACTGTAACCTTTGACAGAACCTGCCCAGTCGATCCCGCTCCGACCTGAGATGCTGACACCATCTTTTGACCGTCGCCCACGCGTAGACCTTTGGCTCGCGATGAGTACGACGGCGCGGAGGTTCCCATGCCAGCAGCTTCCACTTGAAACGTGGAGGGCCTGACCTGCCAACGAACGGGATCGCATCCTTGTCGACCTTGTCATAGCGTCCAGCCAACTCGAAATCGACTCCCTCAAGCACCGTGTCCCAAACCAAGGCAAGATTCGAAACCTCCCTCACTTCCAGAAAAATGTGATCCACTGCATCCCACGGGTACGGGAACCTGGCGCACCCACATGGCGGAATAACAGGGAACGCCCTTGGCTCATCTGGCACAAGACACCATGCTGGCCTATCTTCACCCAGAATATCAATGCTGACTGGATAATGCGGGGGGGGTACTGTGCCGTACGTGCCCTCCACCACTGCAGTCCCGAGCCTTGACGACAAGTTTGCACAAGCAATGAAGTAGTCAATCTTCGAATTGCCGTCATCCTTGCAGCACGTGGCCGACGGTGGAGCGTAAGACAACCCAGCCAAAGACTCAATCCACCCCCTCGCATTCAGAGCTGCTATGTCAGAATTCCAGCCACCTGCTAAGATCCAGTCGAACCCCGCAGCGTTCCAGAACGCGACTCTCTGCGCGATGGCCCACAGTATGGAAAGATTCTCGCCCGTCAGACCGATGCTTGTCACTAAGTATGCACTGACCACAATCACACCACCAGGAACTCCCCAATTGACAAAGCTGGCCACCACTCTGCCTGGGTAAATAATGGGGTCGCCACCGGGAGGCTTCGTGATCATCACATTCGTGGGCGCCAAAATTGCAACCCCACAGTGGTTGGCCTGCGGACCCTTGGCATTGGTCGCCAAGGCTGGTGCCCACGTACCGTGGAAGCCGAGGTCCTTGGCGCGGTGCTGGAACTCACCGAGGCGTGACTCCACAATCCTCGTCTCCTGTGCGCAAATGATCTTGGCCTTCACCACGGCCAGAAAGTCGAACAATGGTCCGAAAGAGCCCGCATTCACCGACATAATTGTTCCTGCAATGGCAGGTGGAGAAGATTTGCCCTCCAACTCACCCGTCTTAGATATATCAGACCCGACGCTCACGCTACCACGTCCGAGATCCAAATGTTCATCAGCGGGGGCGGAGGGAGATGACAAGGCTGCGCATGCAGCCTCATCGCGTTCTGACTGACGTATTTCCAAGGGGTTCGGGCAACTAGTGGGGAAGAGGTCGTCAGCTTCCCGATCTTCATCAAGAAACTCGAAAGGGTCGTACTCCCCGTCCATGTTTGATCCCACCATGGCTCCAGTAGGTCGGTACCCTCTGCCGTCCACTGTCGCGGCAGGCTCACAGCGAGGCGAAGAGGGTGAGTGGTGCGTGCCATGGGGGCCAGTGGCCTCCCACGGTCGGTACTCTCCGCCCTCAGTTGTCCTCAATGCTGCTTGCCCGCTGACGACGGACGGTGAGCAGTGCGCGCCTCCTGGAGCCGAGAACGTCGTAGAAGCACGCCCCATCCGTGAAGCAGAAGCCGCCCTCTGCGAGGTACGCGATGCACGGGGTTCCACCTCAGCGCTCTGCTCGGCAAGCCGAGCGAGCGGTGCTGAGGGTAGCCAACTCGTGCCAATACCCTTCCCATCCCAAGAGACACGTGCCGATGCCGCCGAAGACGCCGCACTCTGTGACGTACACGGTGCACGGGGTTCCGCCCCAGGCCTCTGCTCGGCTAGCCGAGTGAGCCTCCCTGGGGGTAGCCAACGCGTGCCAATAACCTCAGACTCCTCCCAAGAGACGCTTGCCCACGGTGTAGCACTCGCCGCCGATGCCGTAGTCCTCGAAGGAGTTGAAGATGAAGTTGCTACCCCGCTTCGAAGGGACTCCTCATTGCTTGCCGTCATTGCTGCTGCACTGAGTAAAATTCCAATCCCGAAGCTGACGAAGCTATTGTTTGCGAGCCCTCTTGCACGCCTCGATGTACGTCGTCTGGAACCGCTTGAACCTTTCCGTGACCGCCTCGGCAGAGACGCTTTCGTCCGTGGGGATTCCTGCCGCGTTGAGCGTTGCCCGCATGCCCTCCTCTTCCATCTCGATGTCGTCGGAAGGTTCGTCTTCGTCAGGCTCTTGAGCAGGTGGTTCTGCAGTCTGGGGCGAGGGTGGCTTTGCCTGCGGCGCCTGCTGCAGCTTGGTGACCGTCTCCGCCATCGCTTGCAGCCCAGCCGTAAGATCAGGCCCCAAGCCCAGAGTGCTGGCGACGCGCCCCAGCTGTTCCACCGACACGGCGAACCCAGGGAGCATCTCATGGAGCGTGGGCGGCCGCTCCTGCTCGGGCGGGCGCACCTGGGACATGGCCTTGCGCGTCTCCTCTTCGAGCCTGACCACCTCTGCGGAGGCCTCCACGAGCTTAGCTTCAGCTTTGTCCAGGTGTCCCTGCAGCTCCTGGATCTTGGCCCTCTGCTCTTCGACCGCCTTGCGCACGCTGGACTCCTGGGACCTCGCATGCTGGAGCTTAGCCGCCAGCGACCGAGCCTGGTCCTCGATCGGGCGCCCATCGAACAGCTCCCGCTCCAAGGTCTCCTTCTCCTTCTTGAAATTGGCCAGCACCGTCGCATCCTTGTCGGGTGAGAGCATGCGAATGATACCGTCCAGTTCCTTGATGCGCTTGCGTTTCTCTTCTGCTCCATCGGGCTGTGACTGCGCCCATGGTGGTGGTGGCGAGGGCTCGGCCTTCTCCGCGGTGAGCCTCTTGATATGTTCTTCGAGCTGTGCACACCGAGCCGCGAGGCCTTTGTCGACTGGGCTAGGGCCCTTAGTTCCCGCAGCATGGGCACTGGAGGTTTTGCCTCGCTTGTACTCTTTGAACACCACCGACTTGTGGAGTTGACACTGCTTGCAGTACAACGTCCCTCCTGCATTGAACCACGGCTTGCCAGTGACTGAGTGGACACACGACTTGCATATCCAAGGTTCATCAGCAGCAACCCTACGAGGAGCCATGGCGCGCGCAGGAGACTGGGCCACGGGCCTCTGTGCGGGGAGGCCGTGACTGATGAAGAAAGACTGCCAGGCCGCAAGCGAGCCTTGCCACGCTCGGGAAACAGAGCGATCCCGTTTTGGCACGGAGGCGCGGAGCCCCCAATGTGCAAGCTCTTGAGCCAAAATGGCTACGGAGGGGCTGGAGAGGGCAGCGGAGGAGGAGGAGGGCAGCGGAGGAGAAGGAGGGAAGCGGAGGAGGAGGAGGAGGAGGAGGAGGAGGAGGAGGAGAGGGTGCGAAAAGCAGAGAAGTAATCCAACATACCTAGAGCAGCGCAGGCCAATCTGCCATAGGCGAGCCGGTGCGCGCAACCGGGGACAGCAAGAGAAAGGAAGAGGGAAAACTAGATCATGCTAAACCAAAGCAGGCATACAAGGTACAAAATCATAGACAGAGGCATAGGCCCTAGGCACTATACTGAACATAGCTGAAGAAAGAGAGAAAGAGAGAAAGACAGAGAGAGAGAGGAAACACGAACAGAGAAATCAGTACATATATCTATATATACATATATATATATATACAGAGAGAAACAACAACATCAGGGGAGGGAGAAAGGGATGAAGGAGGTGAGGAGAAGAAGCTCCACCATCCGTTTCCTTCCCTTCCTCTTCGATTTAACCGTACGCACACGTTGGATGCCAAACCCGTCGTCTCTGGCCTTCTCGTCTCCTCCTCCTCCTCCTCCTCCTCCTCCTCCTCCTCCTCCTCCTCCTCCTCTACCTCCTCCTCCTCCTCCTACTCCTCCTGCCTCCCCCCACCCATCAGGGGAAACCTGTGATGAAACAGCCGCGGAAAAGATTGGAATCGGCAGGCTTGGCGAACCTTCGAAAACTTCCCTCTCCCCACTGCCAGCTAGGATGCCAGGGGCGCTGGGACCCCTTGGCGGTGCCTCCGGCGCCGCCCCTGGCGCGCTCCGCGCGCCAAGGAGGGGGGTCGGGCGCCGATCCGGGGAATCCGCGCGGAACTCCGAATCTTAACGCTCATGTCATTGTCCGTTCCCCTATCAGCTGCCCCTTGCCAGCTGCGAGTGCAGCCGAGGATGCCGATTTGGGGCGGGGGCGGGGCGCTGGCGCGCTGGCGCCCAGTGGGTTTACCAAGCTCGCCAGGGTGCAGAGAGAGTGCCCATTTGGGTTCCCACGTCGGTCGGTCACCATACAGGGGTCCTCGGGCAAACGTTGAAACACAGACGCAGCCCATCTGTGCATGCGCGGTCTGGCGGAAACGGGCGGCATCAACACGACGCAAAAGACTGTCGGGGACTCCTCGAAGGGAAGCATGGGTACTACCCACGCTCCTTCTCACATCGCACTCCCTGGTGACTCATGTGGATCTCTCTCGCCATATTTCCTTTCCTGGCCGCCCCGCCTCCACCAACCCACCCCTCCATACGCAGTGAACCTCCCCCCCCTCTGCTCCAAAAACTCGGCGACGCCGCTCGCGACCCAGCGACAGCCACGCTCTGAGCTCAGAACGGGGCTCTCACCTCAGAGGGGTCAGTAGTCCTCCTGCTCCGCCTACCCGTTCCCCTCCTTTCTCTGCTCCTCATTCTCATCCTCTTTTACCCCATCCTCCTCCACATCGTCGTCACCACCACCAGAAACATCAACACCATCATCCGCGTCAGCATCATCATGACCACCAACGCCACCATACTCAGCGGCCTCTTGGGGGCCTCTTGGGGGCGTATTGGGGGCCTCTTGGGGCCTCGTGGGTGCAATCTGGAGGTCTCTGGGAGGGTTGAGGGGTCTCTTGTGAGCCTCACGGGGGCGTCAGGGTTCTTGTTGGAGCCTCCCGGGAATCTCTCGGGGGCCTCTTGGGGGCTCTTAGGGTGTCTTGGGGGCCTCTTTCGGGCCTCTTGGGAACCTAATGGGGCCCTTTGGGGTCGCTGGGAGCGCCTCCCGGGGGCAGCTTGGGGGCCTCTTGGGGGTCATGTTAAAGCCTGGAAAGCGTATCGACAATGAAAGGGAACCCAATTTGAAATTCGCAGGCATCCATTCAGAATTCCCTTTGGATTCCTGCAGGAATTCTCAGGGACCCCTCAGAAGCACCTGAGAAAGCATCCAGAATTTGCTCGGAATTCACTAGGACAGGAACCCCTGTGGGAACCCTTTTTGATGAATCCAAAGGGAACCCTGGGGAATCCTCAAAAATCCTTCAGGGATCCCGCAGGAACCCCAAGGAATCCTTCAGGAACCCCCTAAGGAACCCGGAGGAATCCCTCAGAAATCTTTTCGAGACTCCTTCGGAATCCTAGGGAGTCTCCAGGAATCCCCCAGGAATCTCTGAGGCATCCCCAGGCACCCCTAGGAAATCCAGCAGCGATCCTCCACAATCCCTTAGGAGTCCATATGAAAGATTCCCTCAGGAATCAACCGTGCCCACGGGAGTCCCGATGGATCCCTAGGGGACTCCTACAGAACCCAATCGGAGCCCTATAGGAGCCTGATGGCACCTTGTGGGAGCTCTACGGGGCCCCTGCTTGGCCGTATAACAACCCCCTGGGGCCCTGAGTTGCGTTGCGTGTCGCTGGGGGGGAGGGCGTGGGCCCAAGTCCGGGTGGCAGCAAAGCAACAACAACAACAACAACAACAACAACAACAACAACAACAACACCACCACCACCACCACCACCAACAACAACAACAACAACAACAACAACAATTATTATTTTTAGACTGTTCGCCTTTATCTGCTCGAGTGTCCAATAACGCGTATTTCCCAAACCCTTGATACCCGCCCTCTTCGTCTTCGATCGAACCCCTATTCGGGGGTATACCTTTCTTCCCTGCAGGCCGGGCCCCGGCAAGCGGAGGGGCGGCCGCGGACCGTCGGCCTGGCCAACGGCAGCGCTGATCGGCGGGGCGGCCGCGGACCGTCGACCCGACCCCAAGAAGGACGGACAGGGGACCGACCACGACGACGACGACGCCGACGACGACGGCGACGACGACAACGACGGCGACGACGACGACGAGCCAAAGCGAGAGCGAGCGAGAACGACAGCAAGGCCACAAGGACACGAAATAGGCCACGACGGGCGACAGCCGGGACACGAAGGGCATACGTATACTGGGCCGCGGAGGGCAAGGACGGGGCCACTGAGGGCGGCAACGGGGCCACGAAGAACAGCGAGGGGGCCACGAAGGGCGACAGCGGGGCCACGAAGGGCAGGAAGGGGGCCACGAAGGGCACGCGCATGGGGCCACGACGGGCGCGAACGATCGGGGGCCACGAAGGGCAGATCATGTGGGACCACACAAGGCATAGGCG